TTTTTTTTTTTTTTTTTTTTTTTTTTTTTTTTTTTCCTCTTACCTTAACTGGGAAGCTACACTTTCCAGTGCGGACTCCTTCTTCATCCGTCTGCCACTGATGTGGGCGACTTGCTTCTGGGACATAAACATCTTTCTTTCTCCTAAAACTCTGCCGTAGTTTGTTCATGTTAGCTTTTACAACCTGCAGACATAGTAAAAAAACAAACAAATACACAAACAAACAAATAAACCGGTTAAGATTATGGCCTGGTACATTAGCATACTTCCTCTCAGAGTGACGGTAAGTTTAAACAGAACTCTCATTATACCTTTTAAAGACAACTACAGTTCCCTCCAATCACAACTGACAAGCCCTTACCTGGCCTTGGTTCTTCTAAACTTTTTGCTGACTTACCTTACTGTACTTATTAGAGCCTGGAGCAGCCTCTATTTCCTTAAGAGTGGGCTGCATCCTACTTGTTTAAACAGTAGTTACCCTGCATCCTAACACAGTGCCTGTCATGTACTACATATGAGAAATCTGAAGAAAAAAAAGAGACCTCCATCAAAGCAGAGGCTACTTAAGTAAGATAACACTACACAATGACCAGAGAATCATCAGTGTTGGAAAAGACTACAGATGTTAACAGTCCACCAATAAAAGAAGACTACTTCTGCTATCAGAATTTATTAACTTTCTAGGCACAGATGTACTGTTGCAGCATTCTGGTTAGTGAATAACAGAATGAAAGTGTACCCTAGGCTGTCCTTTCTTGCTATGCCCACCATTGTAAACCTGGGTCACATACTTTGTTTAACTCCAATCAGTTCAGGACCTTGAGGGACTTGTCTTAAAACAAAGCAAGGGACAATGACTTGTCTGTAATTTCAGTCCTTGGACCAAAAGTAAAACAACCGAGATTTATGTCTAGATTCCATTGGGTGTATTTAAACATGATCATTTAGGGGGCTAGAGAGATGGCTCAGTGGTTAAGAGCACTGGCTGCACTTCCAGAGGTCCTGAGTTCAATTCCCAGCACCCACATGGTGGCTCACAATCATCTATAATAGGATCTGATGTCCTCTACTAGCTTTCAAGTGTACATACAGACAGAGCATTCATATAAATACATAAATTAAAAATGCATCATTTAATTTCTTTCCTTCAACAAGGGGGGCAGGCAGGCGAGCCATGGTTCACTTGCGGAGGTCAGAAGACAACCTGCAGGAGTTGGTTCATTCTTCCACCACAGAAGTGAACTCAGGGAGTAAACTAGGTCACCAAGGGTAGTGGTAAGCACTAGATGATCTCACCACCCCTAAAGTTTAATTTCTGAGTCTGGCAGGAGTATTACAACAAGTTCCAGGCTAGCATGAACCACCGTAGTGAGAATTTTGGTTTCTTTAAAGACACAGAAATATCATAATATGTTTTCATTTTAATCCCAGGTATGGGGATATGGGACTGCTTCACAGCAGCTACGATTAGCAAGCCATGATTTTTGCCAGTTGTAGATAGTTTCTGTGATTGTAGGATGTTTGGAATTCTGGGGACTTTTCAGAGGGTATGTAAATGCTAGGGCCCTGCGTGGTGTGGTGGGCTGTTGGTTGCTGTTTTTGTTTTGTTTTGTTTTTTGTTTGTTTTCAGGTTGTATTTCTTTTTTTAATTTTAGTTTTTTATATTAGTTTATTCACTTTGTATCCCAGCTGTAGCCCCTTCCCTCATTCCCTCTCAAACTACCCTCCCTCCCTCATCTCCTCCTATGTCCCTTCTCCAGTCCACTGATAGGGGAGGTCCTCCTCCCCTTCCATTTGACCCTAGCCTATAGGTCTCACCCAGACTAGCTGCATTGTCTCCCTCTGTAGCATGGTAAGGCTGTTCCCCCCTCAGAGGGAGGTGATCAAAGAGCCAGCCACTGAGATCATGTCAGAGACAGTCCCTGTTCCCCTTACTAGGGAACCCACTTGGACACTGAGCTGCCATGGGCTACATCTGTGCAGGGGTTCTAGGTTACCTCCATGAATGATCCTTGGTTGGAATATCATTCTTTGCAAAGACACCTGTGCCCAGATATTTTGGTTCTGTTGCTCTCCTTGTGCAGCTCCTGTTCCCTCCAGGTCTTTCTATCTCCCCCTTCTTTCATAAGATTCCCTGCACTCTGCCCAAAGTTTGGTTATGAGCCTCAGCATCTGCTTTGATACACTGTTGGGTAGTCTTTCAGAGGCCCTCTGTGTAGGCTCCTGTCCTGTTCCTGTTTTCTCCCTCTTCCAATTTCGGTCCCATTTGCCTTTCTGAGTGAGGACTGATCATCTTACCGAGGGTTCTCCTTCTTGCTTAGCTTCTTTAGGCATATAGATTTTAGTATATTTATGCTATATTATATGCATAATATCCACTTGTAAGTGAGTATATACCATGTGTGTCTTTCTGCTTCTGGGATACCTCACTCAGAATGATCTTTTCTAGTTTCCACCATTTGTCTGCAAATTTCATGATTTCCTTGTTTTTAATTGCTGAGTAGTATTCCATTGTGTAAATGTATCACAATTCGTGTATCCATTCCTCAGATGAGGGGCATCTGTGTTGTTTTCAGGTTCTTGCTATTACGAAAAAAGATGCTACAAACATGGTTAAGCAAATGTCCTTGTTGTACACTTGAGCATATTTTGGTATGCCTACCAGTGGTATAGCTGGATCTTTGAGGAAGTGCTATTCCTAATTGTCTAAGAAACCACCATATTGATTTCCAAAGTGGTCGTACAAGTGTACATTCACACCCAGCAATGGAGGAGGGCTCCCCTTTCTCCACATCCTCGTCATGGTTGTTAAGTAGCGATGTGCAAAGAAGAAATTAGATACCCTGCCAGTGAAGATCAAACTTGCCCCAAAGGAGCTTGATACCCCTAAGCAGCAGGAGGTAGTCTAACAATAATGTTGCCCCCTTTCCTTGCTATCCTTTTTCTCCCCTATCTGTTGTTAGAGGGTTGAAAGGGTGGAATAAAAGGGGTGGAGAAGGGTGGAAGAAAGAAGAATCCACAAAGTAGTAAAAGTCCAGTTACAGATCATCCATTAAGACCTCTGTCTCAGAAGACTCCTAGAGTTTCCTGGCTGGTCTGACTAGCACACTCAGTGAGCTCCAAATCAGTGAGAAACTGTAACTCAAAAAGTAAGGTAGAGAGAGTGATTAAGAAAGACTCCAGACACTGATCTCTTGACTCACATACATGTACACACACAGTCTCATACTCTCACACACAAGAACAACACTGACAACAGACACAGCAACATCAAACAAATCCCAATGAACCAACAGCAAAAACAAAAAACACACAACAAACCTATAAACCCTTTCTTAACTTCCCCTAATAACCAATACTCTGTCAAAGTGGTGTTCTCTCTTGATGCAATAAATCAAGAAAATTCACTTTTGACCAACAGGAATTTCTTTGTAGGGAAAGTTGTCTACAGAAATGGAAAAAGAGAAATCTAACTATGACTATTTTAGGTCTCAGGAAACTACATAAGTGGTAAATGCTACATAGAAAAAGATAAGCAGGGGCTGAAGAGATGGCTCAAAGGTTAAGAAAACTGGCTGTTCTTCCAAAGGTCCTGAGTTCAATTCCCAGCAACCACATGGTGGTTACAACCATCTATAATGAGATCTGGTGCCTTCTACTGGCACACGCAGACAGAATACTGTATAAATAATAAATAAATAAATCCTAAAAAGAAAAGAAAAAGATAAGCAGAATAAAGAGAGGAATTAGAGGTGCCTAGGGACATATAAAGCTTTAAATTATAAAACAGAAATTTGAACTAGGGGTGTAACTTAGTGGTAGAGTATTGCCTAACACTTCAAAGCCATGGGTATGATCCAACACAAGTAAACAAATGACATTTAAGCAAAGAACTGAAGGAGGTAAAAAGTTAGCCATAGCAGTAGGGCAACAAACAAATAATGTAGTATTCTAATGAAGTGTGCTTGCCTAGGTTGTCTGTGAACCTGTCCTCATGAGAGACACATTTACTGGCACACTGATGTATAAAACAAGCCACAGTGTTTTTGCTGTTCTCATTCGAGACTTTTCACAGCGTCCCAACACTTCTGCACGAAATCCTTTGAAAATCAGGTAGACACTGAATCCTACTTCCACATAGCCTCTGTTACTTAATAAGAGAAAGCTGTGTCAGATTACACTGTTTGCACTAGAATTTGGAGCCCATCCTCACCTCTGTAGCTGCTAAGGTTGAGGGACTTGTTTGCAGGGCTTAAGATTGAGTTGGACAGAAATTACTCAACGCCAAACTCAAAATTAAGCTTTAGGATCCATAATAATTTTGGACACGACCAAGGGTGAAATCTGGATGCCCTCGCCTGTTGTTTCACTTTCCTCTTATTACCCAATCACACAACTGCTTCAAACAGGAAATCATACATATATCAATAAGACATCAGCTGCATTTTTATGTTTTACATGGTAAATAGCTGAACAGTACTAAGTGAGCGCTAAGTATCAATGTGGCAAATTACATGTCCATACCAAATGCATCAGGCACAGTACATATATGCACATGCGCACAACTATGATCATGCCAAAATCTATTCTCCAAAGAGAATAAACACCACTATAAATAATAAACACCACTAGCTACTACATGAACAGCACCACAAAAAGCATTTCATGTGCAAGTTTATTGACTGGCAAGATGAAACGTCTCAAAATATAAGACAGCCACATTTTGGAAGAGACTAACTGAAAATCAGTTTCAAAGAACTGTATAAAACATAAACAGTCCAGGATAGCCAAAGCTACACAGAGAAATCCTGCCTTAAAAAGCAAACAAATAAACATAAACAAAACATAAAAACATAAACAGTGACAAAACACCAGTCGGGAAAAATAAAACTTGGAAAATGACTGTTGTATTGTGAAAAGACTCAATGAGCAAATAAAGCTTCAGTGACGTGCTCAGATCACCAGCTAAGGAGGTTAGGTTCCTAAACAATGTTCTTTAGTGGCGTGCTCAGATCACCAGCTAAGGAGGTTAGGTTCCTAAACAATGTTCTTTAGTGGTGTGCTCAGATCGCCAGCTAAGGAGGTTCCTAAACAATGTTCTTTGGCAGTTTAGTCAGGGCACACCACTAGCCATGGCCTCGCACAACTAACAGAAGATGATGGAAATATGCCTCACATACACAA